TTGCCTTTGGTTGGTAATCGTGTATTTTGACAATGTTCTTGAACAAAATTGAGGTCTTCTTATTGTTGAGCGTTGTTTCTGGCTCTGTGCTCGGTTTTTGTTTGAGTGGGCTTTGAGTAACGATAGAGATGGCGATTGTGACGTACAATTCACCACTATAGCAGCATTTTTGCACTTATTACTTACAAAGAAAGGACTTACAGCATATGTTTCCCAACTGTACCGTTTCTCCAAGTTTACCTATATACAGAGTTAAAGTAATGAGCTTAGCAGAACGAAACAACGCTCAACCACAGCAAGATGTTTTATTTTGCTAGCAGTCATACCTCACATTACAAAGATTAACAAACAAATAATGAGGATAACGATGAAAAAACATGCAGAAATTTGAACTGACGGCTGGGGTGTCGCGCTCCGCCGCGACCGGCCTGCTCTAATTCAAATTCGAATTCGCCCACCGACCGACTAGTGGGGTGAGGACGACTATACTAGCTCCCAAGGGGTGATGGTGAGCATGGCATCACTACTGCGTAATCACCTCAAATAATACCTTAATTCTTCTCCCAAAGGGACTTTGCAGATAATAGAGTTTAGACCAATTCTCTTTTTCACGTCAAGTGAAGCTCATAAGCCCTCGTAAGAGTTTAAACGTTGAGTATCTCGTACTACGTGAAAACGATTACGAGTTCTTCGCCTATGCAGTTATTTTTTAGATAATCGAGATTATCAAACTTTTTTGCTGTTACAATCAGCATTGGACAGCTGCAGCATCAACGGCTAAAATATGAAATTCCTAGAGGTCATCAGCAATACCTAAGTACCAGTGGCAGACCGAGGTCTCCCTCCCCCCCCCCCCCCCGAAAATGGGTCGCAAAATTTTTGAGATTTATTAGGTTGTCCGGAAATTAATGCCCGTTTCGATTTTCAAACGGCGTAAGTCGTAAAATTCTCATTTCTAAATAGGTAGCAAAGTACTATTCGATAAAGCTTTGCAAGCTCTACAAGATGACAGTCTTGCTTTTGCAACAACTCTCATCCAGCACGAGTTTCAAGCCAGAAACTAAAAAGATTCAACTGCCCGAAAAATCGAAAAAAATCGTAACTCAGTTCGTAAACACCCTACAAAAATTCTAACTTGCTCACGTAAACCCAATCCACATAAGACATCCATACACGCCGTTGCCGTATTTTTTTCTCTATTAGAAATCAAGAAAACGGAAATTTTCATGCATTTGCCAAAGTGGTGCTGTGCCGCCTCCACATAAATAGATGTATACTACAAACCCGTAGAAGTATAAACGTAAATTTTCAGCTCTCTACAAGCTTTAGTTTTCGAGAAATATCGAGTATAGCTTTTCCTAGTTAGGTGATCCAAGCTAAAATCCAAATTTCTCGAGAACTAAAGCTTGTAGAGAGCCGAAAATTTACGTTTGTACCTCTACAGGTTTATAGTATACAACTACTTATGTGGGAAAGGCACAGCACCACTTTGGCAAATGCGCGAAAAATTCCGTTTTCTTGATTTCTAACAAGGGAAAAAATACGGGAACAGCGTATATAGATGTCTTATATGGGTAGTGTTTACGAGAGCAAATTAGAATTTTTATAGGGTGTTTACGAACTGAGTTATGATTTTTTCCGATTTTTCGGGAAGTTGAATCTTTTTAGTTTTTGGCTTGGAACTCAAGGTGGATGAAAGCTGTTGCAAAAGCACGACTGTCATCTTGTAGAGCTTGCTTTGCCCTATCCAATGGTACTTTGCAGCTTCTGTAGAAATGAGAAGTTTATGACTTATTGCGGTCGAAATTTCAAACGGGCATTAATTTCCGGACAACCTAATACTTACGTGGGTTATATTGGGTTGTCCGGAAATTAATGCCCGTTTCGAATTTCAACCGCAATAAGTCATATACTTCTCACTTCTAAATAGGTTGCAAAGTACCGTTCGATAGAGCAAAGCAAGCTCTACAAGATGGCCATCTCGTTTTTGCAACAGCTCTCATCCACCTCGAGTTTTGAGCCATAAACTAAAAAGACTCGACAGCCCGAAAAATCGAAAAAAGTCGTAACTCAGTTTATAAAAATCCTACAAAAATTTTTACTTGCTCACGTAAACACTATCCACATAAATCATCTACATATGCCTTTGCCGTATTTTTTCCTCTGTTAGAAATCAAGAAAACGGAAATTTTCGCGCGTTTGCTAAAGTGGTGTTGTGCAGTTCCCACATAGGTAGTTGTGTACCACAAGCCCGTAGAAGTACAGACTTAAATTCTCAGCTCTCTACAAATTTAGTTCTCGAGAAATTTGAATTTTAGTTTGGGCCACCTAATTAGGGAAAGCTATATTCGGTATTTCTCGAGAACTAAAGCTTGTAGAAAGCTGAAAATTTAAGTCTGTATTTCTACAGGCTTGTGGTACACAACTACCTATGTGGGAACTGCACAACACCACTTTGGCAAATGCACGAAAATTTCCGTTTTCTTGATTCCTAGCAGAGGAAAAATTACGGCAAACTTGTATATAGATGTTTTATGTGGGTAGTGTTTACTTGAGCAAGTAAGAATTTTGGTACGATTTTTATGAACTGAGTTACGACTTTTTTTCAATTTTTCGGGCTGCTGAGTCTTTTTATTAGGGTGATCCAAAAGTAATGGGGCAGCTAGAGAATAAATGCAGTTTTCTCAAATAGAAAAGCTAATTGCAAGTCCAAGTTTTGGCAGATGTTAGTACATAACAAAACCTTCTGATCGAGGTCTATAGTCGGGCACTGTCACATGGCGTTAATTCTATAGGCGCTTAAATTTAAAGCTCACCAGTTCAAGTAATTTTGAACTTTGAGCAGCAGCGCCGCAGTAAAACAAGTGAGCCTAACAGAGATACGTGCGCAGCAGTGGGTGAGGGGACTGTCACCAAATCCACAATAGCTCGGTGGTCCCAAGGCTTTAGAACAGAAGATATAGCATCGGGTATCAGGAGACATATTACTTATTCTTTCATCAAGGTAATCAAATAAGCCCAAACTTATCAGTTGCTTTCTGATAGTGCTTTTTAAGCTCTATCCATACATATGCAAATTACTTTGACTTTTCTCATTTTCAAAAGATTGTGGTCCAAAACATGAATTTTAGTCTGAAAATCTGCGCCAAACACCGCACTTTTTCGAATAAAGTGCCTTTTTGTATAAAATAATGTGCAATTTTTGGCTATTCAAGTAATCATTAGAAAGAGTTTGGAAAGCTCTTTCGAATGGTATGCCATATGTCGAGGGACTATCAAGTGCAGCGGCCCAAATTCGGATGGCGTTCAAAAAAGTCTGTCTGACTTTTTTGAAGCGCCACTCGAAGAAATGTCGGTGAGGTGCTGCAAGGTGCTGTCAAGATAACCTGCGAAGGTCACTTTATACAAAGGCGTTAAAAATGCTGGGCGTTCACGGCTAATCAGAGAGAAATCTTGAAGTATGTCAAAAAAATCAAGGTGCCCCATTACCTTTGGATCACCCTAACAGTTTATGGCTCAAAACTCGAGGTGGATGAGAGCTGTTGCAAAAACTAGATGGCCATCTTGTAGAGCTTGCTTTGCTCTATCGAACGGTACTTTGCAACCTATTTAGAAATGAGAAGTGCATGACTTATTGCGGTTGAAATTCAAAACGGGCATTAGTTTCCGGAAAACCTAATAAAAATGTGCAAGTGGCTTGTTTATTCTTGTAAATAATTAAAATGATTTTTAAAATTTTTTAGAAATTCAAATTAGCCTTGTAAAAAAAATTTTTTGGGGGCGTGGCTTCAGCCACGCCCCCTTTTCAGAATTTTAGCCTCCCCCACCGGTCCGAAATCCTGGGACCACCACCGGTACCTACTTCAGTGCTGACTGACTATGTTACTGTTCAAAATATTAGGTTGTGACATAAGTCTTGTTACATTTAACTTCTAACGGCGATAAGTCATACACCTCATAGTCTTTGCAGGACTTCAGGGTACCAACCGATAGAGCAAAGCAAGCTCTACAAAATGGTCTGCAAAATTTCGCACCAGCTCCGACCCACCGTAAGTTTGCAGCCAAAATGTGAGTCGTACTGAAATTCAAAAAATCGCGAAAAATTCATATCTTTGTTTAAACAAATCCTACGGATCTCCAACTTGCTCATAAAAATTGCCCACTATATCAAACACTCATATGTACCGTTGCTGTACTTTTTCCTTATCTAGAAATCGAGAAAAAGAATTTTTTTAATTTTTACAAAAACGAAGCTATGCTGTTTCTTTTTATGCAGTTGTATACTACAATCCCTTAGAAGTATAACCGTAAATTTTCAGCTTCCCAGAAGCCCTAGTTTTCGAGAAATACCTAATTTAGCATTGAACACCCGAGTGATAAAAGCCAAATTTGGCATTTCTCGAAAACTAGGGCTTCTGGGAAGCTGAAAATTTACGGTTATACTTCTAAGGGATTGTAGTATACAACTACATAAAAAGAAACAGCATAGCTTCGTTTTTGTAAAAACTAAAAAAAATTCTTTTTCTCGATTTCTAGATAAGGAAAAAGTACAGCAACGGTACATATGAGTGTTTGATATAGTGGGCAATTTTTATGAGCAAGTTGGAGATCCGTAGGATTTGTTTAAACAAAGATATGAATTTTTCGCGATTTTTTGAATTTCAGTACGACTCACATTTTGGCTGCAAACTTACGGTGGGTCGGAGCTGGTGCGAAATTTTGCAGACCATTTTGTAGAGCTTGCTTTGCTCTATCGGTTGGTACCCTGAAGTCCTGCAAAGACTATGAGGTGTATGACTTATCGCCGTTAGAAGTTAAGTGTAACAAGACTTATGTCACAACCTAATAATTCTGCACTATTTCTTGACGATATCTCATATCTATTAGAAAATGTTGAATGTAATCTAACTTGTTTCTGAGCAAATCACTCTACCTTCCGTATCACAATCTAAGCGTTAATAATGCTAAATACATTTTTATCTTATTTCCAACATGCATGCGCGGATGAATTCCAGTGATCTCAGATAAGAATGTGACAACGTAATGAGCTCTTTTTTGAGCAACAAGAGCTGCTTTGAAACGCAAAAGCTAAATCCTTTTACAAGATCGGCAATTTTCAATGTTCATTAAATAGAAGGGAATCTGGGTAAGAGCGCTCAGTCATGCCTTAGTATCAAACTGCAAACAAAGAATGTTAAAACATAATATCTCTGCATAGAGCGTTTCAAAATGACTGTAAGTTAAATCCAGTTTCGTAGCATGCGAAGTGGCGAACAGGACGACACCATCCATCTCTGCAGTACTTCCATCCGTTATTTTCGCACCGGAAATGAGCATGGAACCATATTACTGCAAAAGTCATGTTTTTACAAAAAATATGCCACTGTATTTCACATTAAAGTGCTACAACAACTTGGGTTTTGTGGGCTGGAAGGCTTCGGACAAACGACTCACTCCGTTATTATACAACAAATACGAACGGTGGGATCAAACTTGGTATGTATACGCGCCTGAGGGACATGAACTGGATGTAAATGATTTGCGAAAACTAAATGAGTAAAAAGCATGACAGGCTGCCTTTTTTTCCAATCGACTCTTCAGCGCAGATTTGTCTTACAGGTGCTGCGATAAATTCAAGGCAAGCCGTAGATAATAGGGAAGTCAAAGATACAGCTATGAAGCAGCAAGATGAATTTGGAAACGGCTTACTACATGAAATAAATAACACTCTGGAGAGCATCAAACGCTGTTTTCAAAACTTTCTTTGTTATCTGCCAAGCACCTCTGGACGTGATTTATAAGCGTTTTTTGGCTACAGAATTGAACGTGCAATTGGCACAAAATCGTCCAAGATTGCGCAAATGACCCGTCAGAGCACTCCATGCATGAAAAGCCTTAAAGGCAGCGGCTCGGCAGATTTTGCACTTTCATCTTTTTGCGTGCTTTGGGCCTTCTCGACCCGTAGATCCCGAATCTGAGCTTTAAAAGGGGTGAAAAAGCCTTTTTCGGGGCGTTTTTTTTTTCAATTTCCGAAAGGCAGCTCGGACGAGAATTTTTTAAAGGAGAGTCGGGAGGCCCTGGCACGAAGACCCTGCTGCCTGTGATTTTGGCTTTGTATAGCATGCACAATGCGGGAAAGCGGTTGGGGGGTCCCGCGCCGTCTAGCGGAGAATACTCGTCCGAACAAGGTGTTAGGGGAGCGAAAGGAGGAAGGGGAGCGAGGCTTGGGCCGCCCCCCTGGCTTGCAAAATTCACATTTTCGGCTCGGAGTTGCTCTTTTGGTTCACTTGGAGGGCCTCCTATCCATCTGTGTCAAAATCTAAAGTAGGTCTATTCTGCCGAGCCGCTGCCTTTAAGTCTGATATACTCATCCTCAACACTTCTTTATTGAGCGCTGGAAAGACCATAACCAATGATTTTACCTAGATTTTGATCATTTTTCGCTCTAAAAACATCAATAACTCAGCGTCGAGAGGAACTTGGCAAAAATAAAGTTTTGGAATCAACGTTTGTTGCCCTTTAGATCGGTACGTATTTCATTTGGAACTAGCCGACTTCAACCTTCTTTCCCTGGCAAGAAATTGCACTGAATAACTTAACTTTCACTTTACAGAGCTTCCTCTTAGATAAGTTAATGGGAGGACAAGCGCATGAAGGTGTTACCGAGGATAAACTAATGCTATCTCGTTAAGACTTCAAATGCACCAGTTCAATTATCTGTGTGAAAGAAAGTGAACTTATAGCTTTTTCTGATTACTGCCCATGGCTCACTGAAGAAACAAATTTGCCGTTTGCTGTATTGTGAAATCTTACTGATAATGTGGAACAGAAAGGGAAGAATCTGTCCAAATAGTGGATAGATGTGGGTGATTTTTCGCAGTTATTCACCACGCTTGAGAAGCCTATGAGAGGAGTCGTGCATCACGGTAAAAAAAAATGATTTTTCAAGCTCTTAAGCAGAGACAGTGAGCCTCTACTCAGATAATCGCCGGGGGCAGGCGGTCCGCAAACTCGCGCTTTTCTGCAAGCGGTCAGCAGGATTTTGGGGCGTGGCCTAACCTTGAGCGAGCGGTACTTCCTTTATTGTCTAATGTTCTGCCAGCGGGCAGCAACAGAGAATTTTCTGCAGGCGCTCGTCAAATAATCTCTTTCTGCAAACGCTGGCCGAACTTTCAGCAGGCGCTCGGACTCTTTTCACGCAGTTTCGGGCATACGTCGAGCACAGGTAAGACTCTGTGTGGCAGAGGTGTCACCGTTGCATTAATTACTCAAGTTTGAGGTACTTTCTCTCAGCGGAAAGTACCTGGGGGCTGCGCGGTCCTCCACAAAAGACCGTGCGGCTCTCAAAAATTTTGCATATTCTCGCGGAAAGTCCGCGAGAATGCGGCCACTGCGCCGCAGCTAATCTATAAGAAAACCGCGATTGTTCTTCAAGCATTCGTCTAAAATTTCGCTAAAATTCTTCCAAATATCTGCAAGCGGACCGCAAGAAATCAGCGAACTATTTTTCCGGTGCCCGCCCGCCCATAAATCGCATGGCCGCCTGCCCCCGGCGATTATCTGAGTAATGTCCCCTGTTCTGGCACTGCTTCGTCCTTCATATGTTTGAAAGCGCTTCTGAAAGATTGGGGTATGCAATGTGATAAGGGTAGCTGCAGAGGGGTGCAATATCGACACGTTACTCCAAAATGTTTATAGGGAAAAAGTAGCACTCTTTGAAAGTAGTTGTAGTACGCAAGCATCTGAAGATGCTTCTAGCGGCTGTGGACCGTTTGGAGCCAACTTCTTCGTTGTCAAAGAAACGCTTTTTCTCTCTGAAAAAAGTAAGCAAGTACATTATCGAAGAAAGGGGATTCTTCCGACGACGTCGAAATTCAGATTGTGATAATATAAGACCATCACAGATTTGCAATTAAAATAAAAAATTAATAAGAAGAGTTGATTTTCGATAACTCCTCTCTCTCGAAATATAAGTGCTGACCGAGGACAATCTCCAATTTACGGGATGTCAAGAAGGCCAAAGTCAGAAGCAAATTCAAAGAGTGCAGGCCTGTTGGCTCAAGTAATTAGCAGCAGCGAACTCTAGCAGCAATGTAACCTCCATCGTTCAGATTAACAGGATTATCTATATTAGTAGCTAGCAGCATAGTGAAGTGAAACGCCACCGTAACCAGTGGGACACTGGGATTGTCATCCGGGCACCAGATAAACCCTTTACCTTTAGTAGAGATAGATCGACTGCTACTAGAGCATTTCGCGGATATGAGAATAGTTGTAAACTAACCGTCTATATCGCCTTTTTCATCATTGAAGGCAATTTTTGCAAAATATAAGATGGGAGAGAGGCACATCGCAAAAGCGTCGGCCATGCTTGTCGATGCATAATAAACTGCCTACAAAGAAACTTGTTGATAGCTTCCTAAGGTAGTAAGAAACAAGCACTGAACTGACTTGTGCTTGAATAAAAAAAAAACTCTCACGTCGGCGCCCCTGTGACATTTTTGATAAGGTGACAGGATTCCACAATCGTAGAGATTTTTGGGACACGATTTTGTGTATGGAATGGGCTCAAGATGGCTGTTGGACTTTGGTTGACTAGTAGTGGTGTACGAGCTGGTAGATCTAGATATATAAGCTTAGTGCAATTTCAGCTTGACTGGATTTTCGCTTACTGTGCAGCTGTGGAGCAGAGCAGCAGTCCAGCGAAAGTCAAAATGAGAACACCGTGAAACATCTCTAGTGAAGGTCCTGCGAGATGACAGCACGCTTAAAAGTTATCAAACATTTTAATAACAGGAGTTCTTTTCTTTAGTAAGGATCACTTCGTGTAAACAGAATTTCTGCTCGCCTCAAAATTCCAAATGTAGGACATGATTTGATAGAAAGAGGGAGAAGTCAAAATTGTGTCATGTGTTTGAGGAGATTGACATTTCTTCCAGGGCCCTGCACGAGGTGGGCAAATGACAGGCTGGAAACTGGGTGAAAAAGCAAAGTGAATGTCGTTTTTGCGGGATCCGGGGCGAAGCCTCGGAAGAAAATTGGTAGTTCATGCTTTCTGCTTATCTTAACATGTTATGTGCCTCAACATGCAAACACTGGAACTCGCGTGCGTCAAACCGCTCCGTCGCTAATTGCCGCGTGCACGTTGCTCAACCGATTACTGGTATGTGGCGGGATTGCAACTGGTGAAAAAAGCCCGATTCACTCTTTAAAACACTACTTAGCGGGTTGGACTTCATTCAAGTACCCTAATTTCACGCGTACAAGGCGCGGAGTCATCCTAGCTTTCATCGAGCTGCTCAGCCGCCCCAACGTGTTTTAAGAAGCGATCCTTATGCCGCACGATTCGTCAAGCAAAACGCAGCACGGTTTAGGGTTCCTTGCGAAGTCCTTTGCCGTGTTCGGGTTGGTCGATGAAAGCTAGGACCACCCCGCGCCTTGTACGCGTGAAATTAGGGTACTTTAATTCAAAACATTTCAATTCAGACAATGGAACACTGCAGCTCCCTTATAATCGTTGTGGTGACACAGATGTTGGATTTATGCCATACAAGGCGTTTAACAGTATGTATACACTGTTTGACTTTAATATCTCTCATCCTACGAAGTCTTTTGCGGAATTCCAAATGCAGTTCTGTCAACTAGCTCCAACCTAGATTTGAAGTTCTTTTTATCACTGCAGGATTACGGTATAAACTTTGATAAGGGGTTTAAGACATTCAGACATGTTTTATTCCAAGAACGCGATGCCACTCCTCGAAATTGTTGTGGTGAGCAAAACCCGAACAAGCTAGGAGCTTTACTAGGCTACAGATTGCCTATATCATGGAAAGGCTTTGAAATCCGTAAAAAATTGTGTGGTGTTGCCAGCATACTGAGAAGCTTCCAAAGCTCCGTCACACAAATCAGGTTTTTTTTGGAATTTTTTCTGATTATTTCGCAAGCAGTCCCTGTTAGAAGTCCCCATATCTTCATAATAATCCTGCAGCAATGAAAAACGACTGGTGTTTAGGTTAAAGTAAGCTCTTCAGTATGGTGCCTAAAGCTGGACAAAAAGCTTTGTCAGGAAAAAGATATCCAAAAATTAAGCAATTTGCACATAGATTTTAGACACTTTGTTTATAGATATAAAGCATACAGCAACGTCCATCATTGAAGCAAGCGTCAGTATCTATGTCAAAATTCTTTCAATACAATTGCTTATATGGTAAGCAAATCAAACACTCGAGAACGTTCAACTCAACTTAGATAACGATAAAAACACTTGATTTCTGAACGTTCTGTGCGTAAAACAACCACCTACACCTACTGATCATTACAGTTTGCCTCGATGAGCTGATTTCAGAATCTTATCAAAATCTTAATTCAAAAAGTTCGTCTAAGAGAATAATAGCGATGTACACAAAAATTTCACAATTGCTGAATTACGCGCAATCAACGGAGTGTTGTGCAAGCAAATACCGCGAAATAAGTGCAATTCCGTAAATAGTGGCGAGGCTTAGACTTGCAAACAGGTGAGCGCCATTTTGGAGCTTTACAGGAGAGAAATGTGTGAGCTACACTTTGTGCTATTACTTGTAAAAGATTGAATTTTGATGATAAATGCGGGGGAAATGAATCATAAAACGAAAGTTTACTTTCAGTGGTAAGAAGCGCAGCTTTGCCTTTATATTTCAATTCCTGTGCTACTAATTTTACACGATTTCCCGATAGTTTGTATCTTGTTGTATAAACGTCTATGTTGCTTCATAAACATTAAGACAACGTGGGATACACCTGCTGACATTGAGTCACCTCGTGAGTCAGCTAGAGGTGTATATCGCATTTCTCATCTTTCCACAGTATGGCCAGAAGTATGAGAATGGTGAAGTGAAGCAGTTCAATCAATGTTCCTTACGCTATCGCAGCAGTGGAGATTCAAAAATGTGGGAAGTATATCAATCAAGGAAAAAGCTTTTCAAGGCAAGTAGACAATCGCAGAGGTAGAAGGTAGAATCTAGTAAATTTCAATTTTCAGAGACAAGGCATTCCTAAAAAAAATGATTATGAAAGCCTCCAACTTGAACAAGCATATGCTGTCCACATCAGAGCGCGGCAGAAGCGCGCCTTTCGAAATTGCAGTAGGCAAATGCGCTTGATAGGTACGGTTTATGAGTCGAGGTTGTCGGAATGGCACTTTTCTTCCGGGAATGCAGAAAGTATATGCTCGGTGAGGATTAGTTCCCTTCCACACAAAGAGTCAAGTTTTGGCTAGTATTGATATAAATTTTGCTGTCAGGAGAGAGCATTTTTATTCTGAGCTTGCAATCCAACTAATGTAGTAAGAAAGTTGAGGTCGAGCTTGTTATGTGCTTTCAAAAAAATTTTTCAAACAGTAAACTTGTTGGGCATAAATACGTTCCAAAAATCTGGTATACTGGAGTGTCGAAACAGCAATGTCGAAAGCAGCCGCATTCCAACGTAAGGACTTACTAGGCGGCACCAACGTAGCAATGAAACAGCAGCATATCAATCACCGTTAAAATTATTCTTAAAGGCAGCGTCCAAGCAAGTCTGGACACTAGGGATATCACATGGATGGTAGTTTTGGGGCCCTAGCTAAGCCACTGCCCAACCGGCAGCTCCGATGGTGCCCTAATAGCTGAGATATTCCCCTCGAAACTGGACCCAGGACCGTATTTCGCATGGATTCATGGCGCAAAGCGTGGATCCTGGCGCGAAAACTGCCATGAATCCATGCGACGATTGCGGGGTCCAGTTTCGAGGGGAATATCTCAGCCGTTAGAGCACTCTCTGCGCTGCCGCTTGGGCAGTGCATTAGTTAGGGCACCAAAACTGCTTTGCACGTATTTTCTTATAGGTCCAAATCTGCCTGGATGCTGCCTTTAACTCTTTTAGGCCTAAGGCGTACCTCGCGCGATTCCGGTGGCATTGGCACAACAGCGACTGTTCGTAATTCGTCGTTAAAGCGCTGTTTTTGGCCAGAACTTGCTCTGTTTGCAACTTACGCAAGCTACCCAAATATGCGCCCGGGAGGTACGCATGACATATTTATAGAAATCTGGCAAATCGCCAAGTCGTGTGAAAGTGGCGATTCGGACGAATCGCGTGAATATGCTTTAGGCCTAAGGATACCTCCAGCGATCCCTTCGTTACGATTTTCGATCGCTGCGACTAGACTGCCTGAGCGACCGTTCACTGCTTGAAAATCGCTCGTCGCTTGATTTTTGGACATCCCAAAGCGATTTTGTAGACGCTCACACACCACCCGCATTACACGGAAAAACTTGCGCTAAATTGGCTGAAGTGCGTTTTTTCAAGGAAATTCGAACAGGATGTGGCGCCATATGCTTTAATAGGACACTACATCAAACGAGAAAGGATATGGCTTCACACATATCCCAGTAAATACCAACGTTTTTCTACCGGCGCAAGTCCAATAGTTCCATCTGCAATGAAATCGACAACTAGTTCACAAAGTTGAGGTCTCTGTCAGTCACTGGTATGCATATACGTTAGCCTTGTAACAGTGAAATCATGCGTTCGGCTTTGTAAAAAAAACTCTGGGTAGGTTGTTTCAACAACGAGTGCTGCGCGAGCTCATGTCTGCCAATCTGCGAACGTATACGTATATGCCCAAGCAACCAACAATGCACATCTAGTCTGCTTCAGAGATTATAGCAAGAACATTTTAGATTCGGTCACCATTTGTTATTAAAAAAAACAGGAAAGATTAGTGCATTGCGAGAACAGCAGAAGGTAACACAGAGGGTGAGGTGGCATATGAAAAGCATTCCATACTATGCAACTCGCATATGTTTTTCCAAGGATTATTAGTATGGCATGTTCGATGACCGACCTTCTCTCATGCAGAGGGGAAGCGCTTGTGTGAGATGGAATAGTCCTAAATGAAATTTGCATTTGCAAAAAAAATACAAAATTTTATAACAAAGAAGAAGCTATTCGAGCGTTTCGCTTATCGCTGGGTCGGAACTAGCGACGGCGACATCGCTGAGTTTCAGCGATGTCGCCGGACTCGGAACACTCGGACTCAGCGGACTCGGAACATGTGTCCGAGTTGGAATTTGCGACGCGACTGGGATCGCGGGAGGTATGCCTTAGACCTTAGGCCTTAGGCGTTTCAAAGATTGGCACGATCAGTAGCCTCATCGGCTAGGTTATATCCGTTCGACTCATTTAGTTTCTTTACCAACCGTAGTGGTTAATAAAAAAACCAAATTGTTTCTTATGTCTCTACAAGCAGTAAAATTGGATCCAATATCATAGCCTTGTAAAATATTATTTTGGTGCTTTATGAAAGAACTCATTGTTATCTTAATCATCTTTTCCATCATTGACAAAAAGCGCTTCGCTGTAGGCGAGCACCTAATGCTGGCATTTTGTCAGCAGAGATCAGCGACAGTGAGGCTCCCGCCAGAGTGCCGAAGTTTTGCCAGCGCTACGCCAGCACTTCGATCGATACACGTGTATTTCGTTAAGGACGTCAGCTAGCCCCGCCCCAACGAAATACACGTGTATCGATCGAAATGCTGGCATAGCGCTGGCATAACTTCGGCACTCGGCGGGAGCCTGAGAAGGCGCAAGCATGGGCTTCTAATACGATGTAATATACTGTTGCTGCGATAAGACGCGAATCGTTGCATGGGGACGCCCGAAATTCCAAGTTCGGCCTAAATTAAGTGGAAAATAGTCCCAATAACCAATTTACACAGACGGAAAGAAGAAGTAGCACTTGCGCTACTTTTTCCGTATACCACCGGCAGTTTGGCCGTGAATGAAAAAGCCAATGAAGGGCAGCGTTCACATAAGCTTCATTACAGATGCAAAAGCATTCTTAGTTGAACGGGTGCGAACACATATCCATGGTTGTAAAACTGCGCCACATGCGCTTTGCGGCTAATAAAACAGCTTCAAGTACTTAATTCGCGCTTTTGTTCAGCAGAGACCTTATGTGCTCGCGAGACATCATACTGTCTCGCAAAAGTTTATACATGCGAATTTGGAGATGAGTAATCCTAACCCAATCGCGCAGACGGTAGGCGTAGTGAGAGAGTGCTTTCGAAATCGTGAATTGGCCTTCAACGCAGCGTAGACAGTGATTCGATTGAAAGCGTTTTCATTATTAGCAACTTCGTTTGTAAAACTTATTTTCAGCTGGAAATATGGCATGGAAAAGCAGTGGCAATATTCTGTCGTCCCAGCACTACTTTAAACAGTCCTCCGTATTTTGCTTGCTCTGTTTAGTTTGTTTGCCGAGTAAATTCCAAAAAAAAACTTTTTTATTTAGAAAGCTTCATGTGATATTCCAGAGAAACTTAAATCTCAGGTGAAGGTCCTATACAAAACAACTGTATCAAACAACTCATTTTTGAAAAGCCGACCGCATGGGGAAGTTTTTACTTGTAATAATGCTTTGTACTGCAGTGGCTACTTTTGAGTATTTGTCCCTGTTATACCGAAGAACTTTGAGAATTCATAGAAAAGCAACGGATTGAGAAAATCTCACTTCTGAAATGCTGACTGTACAGGAAATTCTGTTCTCGGGCGAAAAGAAGTGCGATGCTGTTGTAGAGCAAAAAGGCTATTTTTGAGCATTCATACCCGTGATACTAAAAAGCCCAAAAAAATCTTTAAAAAGGCCTTCAAAGCAATTGTCTAGATATATCATATTTTTACTTCAAGAATCTAGCTTATGAGCAAGCCTTGTTTAGAGGGAGGTAAAAATGCGATTTCATACAGGGCAAAACACTATCTTGAGTGTTCTCCCCTTATTACTGGAAAATCCCTTGAAATTCTAGGAAGAAGGTCTCCTTATAAATTTTCATATTTCAATATCAGTTTAGCTGAGCTTCTGAATAAGCCTGGCCTCGCGTGAGAAAAAGCACGCGATTAAGAGAATTCTTCTCTGTTCTTAGGAATATCTCAAGAAATCTCGGAGAAAAATCGTTTTGAAGGCAATTATACCGCGTTTTTGTTTCGAAGTGATCAATTGGCTGTAACCAATATCTAAAGGCCTTGCTCATAGGAAGTGGTTGTCGGCTGATATCAAGTATGCACCCAACGCATAGCAATGAAAATAAAGATTAAATACACAGATACTCTCTGTCACGCCTTATACAGTGCTGGACAAAATTATAGGTCCACTCTAGAAAGTGCCATAACTCACTCTGTTGTCAATAAAATGTTCCAAAATTTGGTACAGCCGTGTGTTTACCAGCCTACTATCAGTCCTTAAAATCGGTCTCGTTTTCGTTTGGTTATTCAAGAAAAAATTGAAAATTTTAAAAAAGCAGGCTTGAAGGCTGGACAAAATTATAGGTCCACCTGGAGTTTTTACTGATGAAAGCACTTCTTAGCTCCCGAATTTCTTTAGGTAGGTACACACCAAAAAACGTTAAACAGCTGCTTTAGTCAAGCTGTGTCATACCTCCAAAAAAACTGATTATCTGCTTTTTTGCCTTGAAAATGCTTTCACATGTATTTCGCTCCACAAACCTGCGTTGAGTAAGAAATTCTGCAGTTTCTCAGCTGGATTGGAAGGGAAGGGATTTTATCTACCTTCGGGATGCTTTTTGACCTGAGCAATGAAGAAAAAATTCGACTTTTTGCTGCTGAAGCAAATCCGACATTGACAATACTGCACTTCTGAGCTCAAATTTCTGCCTTCAAACTTCTTTTACGATGTTCTCAGAAGCATAGAGTAAAGTAAAGGCATTTTTTCTACGAAGGGGGTCCGTATTCCATGGTTACAGCTTTCTAGAGATCCTAGCATTTGAGTATAATTACTGAAATCACCTTGCAGAAACTGATTACGACAAGCACCAAAGCTATTTGTGGTTCCGACCAAAATTTTCAGAAGAATTATGTGCTAACATACACTACAAACTTCCACTATCTAGTAAATAAATACTGTCAAAAATCTAGGGGGGGGGAACACTTGGCAAGTTATTTGGACTGCGTAACACTATCATTACGTTGCACACACAACTCATGTTTCGAAAAAGAAACAGGCAGCTTTGTGGACACTTGCGAGTATGGCGAACAGCTTTATTCTTGTGTAAAGAATGCTTTTACAATGTCTTGATATAATGACAATGCATAAAGGGTTTTAGGGCAGAAGCTGAGGCTTACTCTCCCGATTGAGTCGATGTCGGAAATGCTTCAGCAGCAAAAAGTCGAATTTTTTCTTCAATGCTCAGGTCAAAAAGCATCCCGAAGGTAGATAATCCCGTCCCTTCCGATCTAGCTGAGAAACTGCAGAATTTCTTACTCAACGCAGGTTTGTGGAGCGAAATACATGTGAAAGCATTTTCAAGGCATAAAAGCAGATAATCAGTTCTTTTTGGAGGTATGACGCGGCTTGACCAAAGCAGCTGTGTAAAGTTTTTAGACGTGTGCCTACCTAAAAAAATTCGGGAGCTAAGAAGTGCTTTAATCAGTAAAAACTTCAGGTGGACCTATAATTTTGTCCAGCCTTCAAGCCTGCTATTTTCAAAATTTTCAATTTTTTCTTGAATAACCTAACAAAAACGAGACCCATCTTGATGACTGATAGTAGGCTGGTAAACACACGGCTGTACCAAATTTTGGAACATTTTATTGACAACAGAGTGAGTTATGGCACTTTTTAGAGTGGACCTATAATTTTGTCCAGCACTGTATGTAGGTGCTAAACTGCAGATAAAGAATTTCTAAACAAGTTGTCTTTGCATACATTTCTACTGTGTTGCACCAGCATCTTTAATAGTGTCATCAAATGAATACGCATATGTCAGCAGATTTATTGGAATATACGAATAGAACTTGCACTGATCGAAACCAATCATTACGCCTTCTTATAGCAAGCGAAGTGACGAACTGGACGACACCATCCATCTTTACAGTATTCCCATCCGTTATTTTTGCACCAAAAATAAGCTTCATGCCATATTACTGCAAAAGTCACGGCTCATACAAAGTAGAATATGTAACCTGGCAAGACGACATATCAGCGATTAAATGTTCCGCAATTTCGTGAGCTTAATTACTCTGGGGGCGTAACGGTTGATTTTTAATTAGCAAATAGTGATGATATGGGATCAAACATGGTATGCGCTTGCGCTTGGGGGACATCTGTATAAATGCTAAGTATTTTTGTAGTTTGTGTGATGAAGAGCATGCCAAAGTTAACCCAAAATTTTGTTTGAGCTGAATGTTAACGCAATGCCACAACTTCTTTGTATGACTTCTCAAGTTTCTTGCATAAATCACTATCCACCTGAAGGTCTAATACCAGTCCATGAGTCCCGAACTTCAACCTCTTCGACATCTTACCTGCCTGAACATTGGAATCACACCGTATTTTTGCATTTGCCATTTTTTTAAATTTTGAAGTCTTTAGGCAGACTGTCTTATAGCTATCATTTTAATTCTAATAGAATACCGTGAACATTTGCAAAATCAAAAAGAAGTTCGTTTCACGAACTAAAGATGACACCTTGTGCCAAGAGTTGTCTCCATTGTTACCTTATCTTCACAATAACTAATGTGAATACTCTCAAACACCTACTTTCAGATCTATGAGGTCTAACCACAGAATAGCATAAATTACAACATGCAAAGCTAATTTGAGACAAAGTTAATGGGACGTGAAACAAGACTAGAAAAGTCTGAACACTAGAAATGTGCTGATGCTGTAGTGCTGAAAACTAAAAAACACGACCAATTTGAAACTACCCTGATTTTGCGAACAGAAGGCTTACCTACTGTTCTCTTATGTGATTAAACCGGACAACGCCTTATATTCTTGAAGTTAGGGTGATAAAACAACTTTATTGCTTCCTTTCTGTTAGTTTAGTTTACTGAAGAGTGCAATCCTGCAGTTTGCAATGATGCAGCAATTCATTGAAAATTAAGCAAAAAAGAAGAGCAGACAGCGAAAATCTGCCCCACAACAGCGGTTGCCCGTAAGTGCTTTTTGCCTACCTATGAAAATTGAAAAGTTTAGGGAAACGATTATATATACAGCCGAAAAAAATAAGTGACCAAGAAATTGGTGAAGCACGAAATTCTGAAATTTGAGTGTTTAGAGCAAGATCTGTAAACCTTGCTTTTTCTGCTCGCGACTTTCCTTTCCAGACAAAGACTTCAAGATTTGGCTGCTAATGATACAGGTTTCACTCTCCTGGAAATGTTGAATCTAATATCCTTTGATTCATCGGGTGGAAGACGACCGCTGCACCCGCGACGCAGTCTGCGTCTCTTTCGCGAGAACGCTCTCCATTCATTCCCTAGCCTTGATTAGGCCTCGAAGCGCCGCTTCACCTCAAGAGCAATGCGATAAGCTTTTCCGTTTGTACCAGGTTATTTTTTCGCATAAGGACTAGTAGTACAGTAGTGTGAGGCGCCGCTGTGACAGATGGGAATAAGGGTAGGTTGCCGTTTTTGCGTCAGTTGAAACGTTTCGGACCGGTGCAGCATCATGTGCAACACCTCAGACAATCGCCGGGGTCAGGCGGTCCGCAAACTCGCGTTTTTCTGCAGGCGCTCAGCAGAATTTTGGGGCGTGGCCAAATCTTCAGCGGGCGGCACTTCCTTTACTGTCTAATGTTCTGCCAGCGGACAGCAACACAGAATTTTCTGCAGGCGCTCGTCAAGTAATCTGTTCCAGCGAGCGCTGGTCAAATTTTCAGCTGGCGCTCGGACGGTTTTTAAGCAGTTTCGGGTGTACGCCGAGCAAAGGTGAGACTCTACTCAGATAATCGCCGGGGGCAAGCGGCCATGCGAATTTTGAGCAAGCGGGCACCGGAAAAATAGTTCGCTGATTTTTTGTGGTCCGCTTGCAGAAATTTGGAATAATTTTGGCCAATTTTTAGACGAACGCTCGAAGATCTATCGCGGTTTTTCTATACATAAGTTGCGGCACAGTGGCCGCATTCTCGCGGATTTTTCGCGAGAACATGCAAAATTATTGGGAGCCGCACGGTCCTTTTTGAAGGACCGCACAGCCCTCAGGTACTTTCCGCTGAGAGAAAGTGCCCCAAACTTGGGTAATAAAACCATCGATGGCACCTCTGCCACATAGAGTCTCATCTTTTCTCGGCGTACGCCCGAAACTGCGTAAGAAGAGTCTGAGCGCCTGCTGAAAGTTTGGCCAGCGCTCGCTGAAAGAGATTGTTTGACGAGCGCTTGCAGAAAATTTTGTATTGATGCCCGCAGAAAACGCAAATACCGCCCGCTGAAGATTTGGCCACGCCCCGAAATCCTGCTGACCGCCTGCAGAAAAGCGCGAGTTTGCGGACCGCCTGCCCCCGGCGATTATCTGAGTACATGGCAGAGGAGTCATCAATGGTTTAATTACTCAAGTTTGAGGTACTTCCTCTCTGCGGAAAGTACCTGGGGGCTGCGCGGTCCTCCATAAAGGACCGTGCGGCCCTCGAAAATTCTGCATATTCTCGCGGAAAGTCCGCGAGAATGTGGCCACTGCGCCGCAGCTGATCTGCAAGGAAACCGCATTTGTTCTTCAAGCATCCGTTCAAAATTTTGCTAAGATTCTTCCAAATATCTGCAAGCGGACCGCAAGCAATCAGCGAACTATTTTCCGGTGCCCGCTTGCCCAAAAATGGCATGGCCGCTTGCCCCCGGCGATTATCTGAGACCCTGCTTTGAAGGATCTTTTGGACGTTTATAGGAGGTTTTCTTTTATTCCAAGGTTATCAAGCCAAAGGCTTAAGCTTCTACTTTGTGCTGCCGCTATTTATTTAGAAGACAGCACAAAGCGAACAACGGTTGCAAGAAGTGCGCAAACGCGAACGACGGTAAGACCTTTGGGAACAGAAGATAGCAATGGCTTGGCTAAGCTCCTACAGATGCAGGTACTTCGAAAATTAGTATGCGTTCCAGCCAACTATGGAGAAATACACGTTTGGCGCATGCCCCTTAATCGGTGACACAAACGCAGATTTTACCCCTTCAAGCAGTGAGAAAGGGTGCGATTCAACATCAGCTTCCGTTTAGGAATAATTTGGATTATAGGAAAACTCACTGTCTATATCGCCTTTTCCGTCTTTGAACGTAATTTTTGCGAAATGCGTATAAGGGCAGTTTGCAAAAGCATCAGCCATCGAGGTCGAGGCGTAATAGACTGCCTTCAACAAAGCTTATTTACAAACATCTCCAGAAACTCAACTGAAGCTGGCTGTATTCAATTCAACGATGCACTCACATCGGAAGCCCTATGGCAGTTTCGGCCATTCAATACACCGCAATTGTAGAGGTTTTTGGGGCATGTTTTTGTATATCGAATAGATTTTAGGTTTCCATTGGACGGTTGTGGACGGTTGGTGGTGACGGCAGAAGACCTTAATGTGCACTTTCGATAGTGAGAATCTAGTTCGACCAAGTTCTTGCCTGTTTGCAATGATGGACAAAAGCAAAATCCCACCAAGAGTTAGGCTGAGCACGCTGCGTGCTAACATCTTCAACGCAGAGTGGATAAAAGAGCACGCTTAAAATTGTTACACGTACTGCTTTATTTGCAGAAAAAATAACGAACGCACGCAACATCATGAGGTTTCCTAAGAAAAGGTTTGCTCAAATGAAACCGACTTACAATCCACGTTACTATGAAGAAAGTTTTAGTCAAAGTTGCTTTTGTGTGAAAAGTGGCACGACGATACAAATCTATAGTTCTCTTGATGAAGCCCCTCATGGCAAAATAATTTCTGAAGGAAAAGTCAAAATACACTTCAGAATAATATATTTTTATAACATTTCCAAAGCCTAGTTTCAGCATGGTAATGTTGCTTCATTGAAGCTGAGGAAATCAAAATTGGCTTTTTAAGAGAAATGAAAAGGTTATAAATTTTTCAGAATTCTAGATGAAAATTTGATACCACCAGCAATGAACATGCTGGTGGATAAGGACCAATAAGAAAGATGTGCAAAATCTACATGTCCAAGTCTACCATTAACATGGAGGCAGCAAGGATCTGCGAGTGTAGCGAGGGATGTAAGGGCGCAAAGTTATCATACGACTCATATCGACGCATAAGTTCAACTTACAGCTTGCATAATTGAGATTAGATCCAAACAGATAGTCGAGCGTTTTGTAGAATTGGAATTCTGAGCCATGAAAGCACGCTTTTAATGCTGCGCTGAGGATATACGCAGGATACTCCTTGAAAAACAGTAAGGCCGAGGACATGCGAAAGCTAGGGGTGAGTGAAAGCTTTACTTCAGCTAAACGCTGCTGATGCGCACAAGGATAGATGAGCCGAAGAAAAAAGCTTACCGATTTGGCTCAAATTGAAGCAAGATGAAATTTGGAGACTCAGTGCTGCACAGTCCACAACTTTGAAAAGCGATCTTCATCAAAGTTAGTTTGATTGAAAACTTCGGGTAGCAAAGATAACCGCGGCAGACACCGGTCAAGATTAATACCATGCATATCAGCTTCAGTTTTTCTGGCACGTAAGTCGTCAACCAAGGGATCTTAAAGGCAGTGTCCGGGCAAAAAGTCGACTTTGAGATACTGTGCTTACCAGGGCCTATTCGCTATGCTGGATCTGATCTCATGTTGGAGAGCGCAAAAACAGCGAAAAGGGGCACTAACACAAAAAGAAATTAGAGGTGAGCGGGGTCTTCCCCACTGCGGATTTACGCTCTCTACTTCCGGAGCAATCTTCTCGACTCTGGTCTAAAGGCAATCGCTCGCACTTGGACGGTGGTGATTGTAAGGAGCTGTCAGAATCGAGAAGATCGCTCCTGAAGCTGGAGCTTAAATTTACGGTGGGGAGGACCCCGCGCACCTTTGATTCCCCTCCTATGTCACAGCCCTTTTTCGCCGTTTTCGCGCTCTCCAATTAGTGTGGATTTTCAAATTCAGCATGGCGAGCAGGCCCGTGTAAGCATAAAAACTCGAAATCGACTTTCTGCCCGGACACATTTGAAGGCAGTATCCCGGCAAATTTTGCATTTCCATCTTTTTGCATGTTTTGGGATTTTTCGATCTGCAGACCCCGAATCTGAGCTTTGAAACGGGTGAAAAGACCTTTTCGGGCGTTTACCCAATTTCCAAATGGCAGCTTGGACGAGGATTTCAATGCAAAGTTGGAAGGCCCTGGCATGGCACGAAGACCTTGCTGCCTGTGATTTTTGTTTTGGATAGCATGCACAGTGCGGGAGAGCGGTCATGAGGTCTCGCGCCAAACGGTAGGTGAAGTTGTCCGAGCGCGCCCCGGTTTAAGGGCTATATTCTGGCTCCCGGGGGAACACCAACCAGCCGGATGCGCCTGAGGGTCACTAGGATGACCACGCACCCCACTAGCGATGTCCCGCAGGGCGCGAATCTGAAAACTGCATTTAAGACGATCGTTTGGGAACAAGAGACAATTCTGGCATGCGCTAGTCTTTTTTATACATGTCCGCCAAGGGCACCTTACGTAAAATTATCGAGCATTCTAATTCTCAGTTTATCGATTGCATCACATTCGCGTGCTCGTCTGTCTATTTGCTAGTTCTAAATCATGCTATGGTAGATAATGTGAGCATATAGTGAGTGACAGCGTGGCTTTAGATTTCTAAAACACTGAGCACATCATTATCAGTGTTGTTGCATGCACGCTATTTCTGCATATTGGATTGTTAATTGAGTCTGGTTATGACTATAGATGGAAGTTGGCATTTTTATAATCACAGTTACCACATAAAGCAAAGCTAACATCAGGCTGTACAAATAAAATGTAAAAGAAGATAGAAGACTATCACAATGCCAATAAACGCGAATGAACAGTATAAGATCCTACTATACGCCAAGTCCTATCCAGGGACCGGCCAAGTAAACTCTTCAAATTTGAATAGCGTTTTCTAATTAGGTAATGTTTGAGCCACCTCCACAGTCACCACAGCGCTCACCTGCATCGTCTGTGCGTCCTCTTTAATAGTCATTTTGCACGAGCGGCTCGATTATAACTAAACACTAATTTTAACAAACAAATGAGTTCCTATTGCCTCGAAATATTGATTTTTGGAAATTTCGGGTGCTGCCTAAGACGGATCAAAAAAGCTAGAACTATGGCATTTTTTCTCGAGGTTTTTACGGATTAGGAAAAAAAACATCTGTCAATAAGGGGAGAAGAAGCTGCATCAAATGATACCCTAGCTGTTTTCTACTTGAAGTTCTACGGAGTTTACGATAAGCCAGCAAAGGGCAGCTATCCATGCCAAAAAATTCTATTGTACTTTTGTTTACTCTAACTGTTACTAAGGCATTTCCGAAAGTCCAGAACAAAAATAGAAAAATAGCAAAAGTTAAGGCAGGTAAAAACCATGAGTTAAAGATTCTGACGATTTTTCAAGCAAACTTCAAAGAAATCCGAGCAAATACTACTGCTGGAAAGAAAAAGAAATTCCGCGTAGAACTCTTCAGTGTGTTTGTCTATCCTTATATTGAATAATTTGAGGAGAGGTGTAAAAAACTGCATAAACTTTCGGATTCACATAATATTATGTTTATTACTTTGCCAGGAAATCCTACTCTAAGGAAGAACTTTCATCAAAGTACGAGATCCTCAAATTTTGGACAATATTCATGAAGATGGGTGTGCTTGCATATAGCCGACTGTTAATACATGGGAGCCTGGGACAAACACGATCCATTAGAGCGGTTCTTGTAGATCGAATGAAAATAGCCAAGTATGTTGTCCAACTCGTACGAGAAAAGTGCAGGTGAATTACAAATTTGCGTGGTAGTGCAACATTCTACTCGTAAAACTCTGCTAAATGAACTCGCTGTGCACAAAAAGCATGATATTCGCAAACGATGGCCAAGAAATTACTATGGGCCACGTTTGCGATCAACTCCAAGACAAAATTTTGGCCAAAACCCGTCGGCAGCTTCAGGCCTAGAGCGAGAAAAAATCGAAGGGCCAGAATTTACAAAAAACTTGCTCGTGGAGGTTATCCAGCCTGCTATTTATAAAAAACACATCTGCCTTGCAAGTTAGTATTACCTTACTGTAGATTTACAAAGGTGGTCTATGGGAAGACATGAATTTACCAGAGTTTACCTGTTTCCTCCTCTTTTCTTTTTCTTTTCTTTTCTTCAGCTCTCAAGAGTGCTTGATTTTTCTCGCTTTAGGCTGATGCCGACGGGTTTTAGCCAACATATTACCTTGAAAATAACCAGAAACTTGGCCCGTATAGGTTTTCTCTCCGCTGTTTGCGAATATCGTGCACATCGTGCACTGTGAGTTCAGTCCAGATTACGAGAGAAATGTTGCGCTACCGCGCAGATTTGTAATTCTCCTCCGCACTTTTCGCGTACGATGGACAGCTTACCTGGCTATTTCATTCGAATTACAAAAACCGCTCTAATGAATCGTCTTTGTCCCTGGTTCCTATATATAACTTTCGCCGATTTGTAAGCCTACTAACCCTCTTAAATGCTGTCCAAAGTTTGAGGATCTCATACTTCGACAAAAGTCCTTCCTTTACAGCGGGATTTCTTAGGCAAAGTTAAATAATTTCTGTAATCAACGTGGTATATATATATATATATATATATATATATATATATATATATATATATATATATATATATATATATATATATATATATCTGTATCTTTCCCAACTCATGAAAGTCATATCCTTAACCTGGTTCCTCTGCTGTTAAGCTTTCAATACGAGCGTGCTTCCATCACTAGGCCCTGCGGACCATGGGATGGTTCGTTTCAAAGTGCTTGATATTCCCAAATTGTCCACTCTTCCATCCCAGCTCCTGACTTTCACAAAGCTAACTATAAAGTTTCAAGTGAATACCTTTCTGGAATTGATCGCTCTTTCAGTCTGGTCAATATAGATCGTGCTCCGATTTATATCAGAAATTTTGTAAAATATTAGGCTGGCGGATAACCTTTTGTCACACTTTTTTTGTAAGATTCTGAAAAGTTCCAGAAGTTCTCTAGAATCTTCAAAGTTTGTCCATATGTAGGCCACGGCAAGGCGTATACAACAGTATGACTGATGACGCAAATGCTCAATTTGCCAGCAATTTACGACAACTTTATAATCACCTCACAATTGCCATTTTTTCTTTGATTTTTTCCTCTGCGCCTAAGCCTTTTCCTCTCCCATAGTTTTTTAGAACATATTTTCGGGTACTTTTCCGTTATCCGGACCCATTTTTTCAAAAGGCTTTCATACAATACTTTCTTTACTCTGAGAATAATTTTTTTTATAGTACGAGGACTGCCTACTTGCCACGTGTCACAAAAAAACTGACCGTTTTGGTCCATTTTAACATGTTTTTTCGAAATCATTTCCGGTGAGGTAAAAGAGATTTTGTGATCATCTTAAAGCTGTTCAGTTGTTTTACATAAGAGCAAGACAACCATGAACTTATTTCAAAACATTTTGCTTGCGTTCAAGAATGATTCAAAAATGTCTTTCTCTTCAAACTCTTTTCGCCCTGCAA